CGGCTACAACAACTCCGCTCAGATCGGTTAGTATCTCAGTCGTTTTCGTCAAGTTCAACTAACGGAAGACCCAAGAAGCGTGCAGCCTCTATAGGGTCTGTCCACAGGGACAGAGGCGTCAGTTGTGTTGGGTTTTCCGGGCATACATGGGGCATCTCTCCGCATGCCGGACACTCATTTGGCATATCTGCATCTAATCTTCTCAGGTACGAGTTTAGCCTGCTGCAGTAGCCAGAGCCGAGTTGGGCTATTCTGGTTCGCGTCTCCCGAGGCAGACGAAACTCCGTCTCGTCTATGTCAGGTGGTTGAGTGCCTATAACGGTATTCACAGGTCTGGAGTCTACGTAACTTGAGACTGACTCACTGTGAATGCCGCTCAGGGCTTGTCGATATGCCGACGGGTTTAGAGGTTACTTTATGAACCTCTGGATTTCGTCCGTCAGTTCATATAGATGTCTCCTGACATGCTTTGGCGAGGGCTCCTCTGCAAGCAAGTGTCAGTTCGGATGTCCACGTCTGTGGTTCCCTACTAAGAATTGCTTGCAAAGCATTGTGTTGTGCTTTATGGGGAGCATTTTCGCATCGTCATGCAGATGGTGTTCTGGCGACATCAGCGGCCCTATTCTGTAACTCGAATCGAAAGTTGATTCTATTCGAATGTTATTCGATTCGAATTTGTTTTAGCATTCTGTAAAAGTTTCGGATCGAGTTTCTTGTTTTGCGAAAGTTGTACCACCCTGTGCCAGAATTTTCGAATGTCAAACGTCAAAACACATAGAAGGAAAACAAATAAACAACTAATTTAAATTAAAGAATTGTTATTAATTTTATAAACAAAAAAGTGGATTCCGTTGCATTGTGGATGGACGAAGAAATTAATGAAGAGAGAAATGCAAGAAGGGATATTAGAAATCATTTTAATATTGATGAATTATCGGAAAGAAGGAAAATGCATAAATATGTAATGTAACCGGCTATAAACTTGTTAGTGGTTATATATTTGAAATTTTAGCTTCATAAAAAATTTTCGGCTTTCCAAGGAAGCCTTCAATTATGTGTTGAGAAGCATAGATCACGAATGACATGCACCTATAAGATCTACGGCAGTAACTCCGACAGTAAAACTTGCTGCTACTCTAAAATTTCTTGGGTAAGGGAGCTATGAGCAAAAAAAGGGCAAGACCGTTTTGCAGGATTAGCGCAATCCGCGACTTCTAAATGTACCACGGAAGTGGTCAATGCGATTAAAAAAACTTTATGTCCGAAGCACATCAAATTTGAAATGACCGTGCAAGAAAAACGTGAAGCCAAAAACCATTTTTATTTAAAATTTGGATTACCAGGAATATTAGGTGCTGTTGATGGTACCCATATCCAGATGGTTAAGCCGGTAAAGGATGAACATCTGTTCTTTAACCGAAAGCTAAAGCATAGCATCAATGCAATGGTGGTAAGTGTTTAATACTTACAAGTTTTTGTTCATACCTCTTCATAACATTTTTTATTAGATTTGTGATCACAAGATTCTCATGTATGGAGCTTGTCAAACGAACGACAATATATGAAAGCACAATACCAAAATGGAGACAAGTCATCTTGGATAATTGGTTAGTGACTTAATCCATATGTACTTGTATCACTTAAAGCAATCTTACAATTTATTTTATGGTACATAAGACTACATACAAAAAAGGGGCATTTGCATATGTAAATGCATATGGTGCAAAAATCCTGTTAGCAGCGCAGTACTCTGTAACAAACTCTTATATAATCTGTTTTATATTCCCAAACGTACCAGTTCTTACAAATTTGCATGCATTATCTTCTATTTTCAAGGTGACTCTGGATATCCATTAGAGCCATGGCTCCTCACACCATACCGTAACGCAGAAGAAAATTCTCCAGAAATCTTATATAATAAAAGGTTTACCAAAGCGCGATCAATAATAGAGCGAGTGTTTGGAATTTTAAAAGGTCGCTTTCGTTGCCTACTTGCTGGAAGAGAGCTTCATTATACACCCGAAAAAGTAGTAAAAATTGTAAATGCTTGTTGTGCACTGCATAACATTTGCCTTATATACAATGTAAATGAGATCAATGAAGAAGGCTCAAATTTATCTTTATCGACCAACTCAATATAGAAGAGAACGGATTTTTACGTGTGGCGCAGACAATACGAGACCGAATTAAAAATAGCTTGCGTTCCTAATTTAAATTTCGTAACTTTGTGTAGTAAATTAATATCATTAAAGAATTTTGCACAATAAGTACATTTTCTTTTTTTATTTATTTGAGAATAATAAATAATAATATATGAATATGTTTTTGGTTCTATTACAAACATACATATGTATTTATATATGAAAACAAACATAAAAGTTTGCTTAAGGTATCTAGCAGCTGTTGCTTGAGTCTTAGTTTTGAAATTCTAATTTTGTTTCTCTACATGACGCTTTTTACTTTGTTTTCATGTTTTAATTTTGGGAATTTAAGTTTCTGTTTCCCTATTTCTATTTTCTCTTCCACTGGTTCCATAGATTTCTTATTTGGTTTTGATAATGATTTTAAATTGTAATTTACGTCTTTTAAAATGCGAGTGCAATCTTTGTGGAATTTTGTTTGCCCATCCACTTGCATCTTCAAAAGATTGCTTTTGCTTTGAGTTCGGGACCGCATCGTACTGCAATTGGGTGACGCCTGGGAACAGGAAGGAGGAGTACAAGGTGGCAGTTCTGCACGATCCTGCAAATCAGTTGCATAATTCGGAGTGGTTGGAGCAGTTTCACATTCGTTGCTGTTAGGGGCTTCATTTCTTCCTGCACCGAATTTTTGAGCACCGGCTATTCCATCTACTGCTTCATTTATTTGCAACAACTCCATTACCCTTAACTCCACTGAATTAAGGGAATTAATTTTTGCAGGGCCACCACCAGTTCCCGACATGTGCAACTTATTTTTGCGCACTTTGGCTTTGAGGTGGGTCTTGTAATTCGCCCAAACCTTAAATATGTAAATCAAAAATAATAATAATAGTTAATAATAAGCGAAATTGCATTCATAGTGCCATCGTATGTTTAAAATATACTCTTCTTCATTACATAAATTAAATGCATTTATATTTTTTGTTGTTTTTTAATATATTTCAAATGTAACATTTTCTATAATTTAATTCCTTTTGCTTTATTAAAACTGTACTTCATTGAGCGGTTCATTAGCGTACAGTATTTATCATAACCGTTATACCTTGAAAACGGTACTTTGATAGGTCGTACGACGCGTAACTCGTGTTGCAGCTTTAAGAGTTAACATTACATTAAATTACCTTCTTCCTTGAAGATGCATCCCGCGTAGGTGGTCACTCTCCATTTTACTGTTCCGTCAGCCGTCCCCACAAATTCTTGGAAGTTTGCTTAGGATCAGCGCACTTTATGTAGCCTTTGGCCAAACTTCGATGCGATTCCATAAATTCCACCATAATTCCAAATTGGCTTTGTTTTGTATGCTGGCTTTTGCTGGATGAATCCCTACTGAAAAATATTTTACGTTTATAATGGTTATACTTAATAAAGAATCATTAAAATACTTACATTTTTCAAATAGTATTACAGCTCAAACGCTAACGAGTATTATTTGCGAAGATCGAATGAATTTGACATTCAAATTCGAGTTACATAGTTGCCAGTTTTCGGTTTTCGAATACACGATTCGAAATTAGAATTGCTAATGCGAAAATAGAGTTACCAAGTACAAAAAATCCGAATTGGAGTAAATTTATTTTCGAATCGAGTTATAGAATAGGACCCCAGAAGACATACAGCCGCTGTCCGAAGTGCTGTGTTTTGTGTCGTCTGCAGCTTCCTCCACTACTAGTCCCCGGCGACCACACTGGCGCTGGCGGCTACAACAACAAGAGCAATATCAAATTTAATGGGTCGATTATCGATAGCAATCCAACTTCAGTTGCGTTGCTAGTTGCCAAACCGATATTACAGATGGCAACTGGCAACTTTCAACTGACAACTGCAGTTGCTACAAAGTGTGGATACAGGCGACATATTTGTGGTTGCTGGGAATGTTTCTGGAGCGTATTTAGGAGCGAAAATTTTAAAGGGTGTCATATATTTTACTTTTTAATAATTTGAACGATATTAACATTTTGCAATGCAGTTTGCTTTTACAGAATATGGCGAAAATAACAAAACCATAACTTGAAATTTTAGTTCTCGTGGAGTACGCTCTTTGGCGAAATAAAAGCCAACACTGATTGCATTTACTGATTACCTTTATCAACAGAAGCACCTCTTTTAAAACTACCGACACACCAAGTTTTCCAAATTGAAGTCATTGCTGTGGCACTTCCTTCTGCGAAAAATCGAAGAGTTGCGCAAGCTTTTATGAGCGGAGGTATTGAAGTTGAACGAAGAGGTTCATCTGTTTATTAACCAATTATACTACAGCTCCATTTGGAAGTCCTCAATATGCTTTGAAAATGAACACAAAACGATAATAAAAGAAAAACCTTGAAAGCATTAACTTTTGCATACAGTGCACGCGGTAGCTTTAGAGGATTGGAATTATCCTTTAAATGTGGCCTGATTGAGGCCGCGTTCATGCACTCTTAAAACTCTTTATTTTAATAATTTAATTTTACTCGTACAGCTTGTTTACAGCTGCTTGCTGGTTGTCAAATTTCGATTATCGATAACTCTACAGCAACTGAAGATAGTTGACGATTCGTAATACAAATTTTCTTTCCAAGTTGCGTTGCCGGCTGGCAACCGAACCGTGGTTGCGTTGCTGTCCGCCATCGACCCATAAAACTTGACTTACTTAGTTTATTAAAAACTCGTATTTACATATTGCGAGCCGAATGGACCCCATAAATTATTTTTCCTGCTGAACACAAATTCATTTGAATTTTTAATACATACTTACCCAGAATTTGTCCGCGAATAACCCTATTCGGTTTAATAGAATACTTTGAAATAAAACATACATGCTAAAAGCTTTTCTTCTTTAATATTACAGATCTTGCTCTTTAAAAGTAAGTTAACAAAAGATTTCTTACGTACAATATATACATTTATATCACTGCAATTTACACCGTCAAATAAAATTTTCAACAAAGTTTTATATTCAAAAAATTTAACATAAATGTGCTTCGTCGTATAACACTGGGTATAAGAAAGCCAGAACAGTCAGAAATATTTGAAACAGTATGTACAGAAATATTACCGTTTTTTCTTAAATGTTTTATTAAGTTTCCGCCGTTTTAAAATCATTTCATAAAGTGCTTCTAAGCCCTCTTGCAGACCTTCTCCAGTAATGGCACAGGCTGGTTGGATATACCATCCTTTGAATTGATGTAATGCTGCAGAATAACTGGTGGTTTTGGTTGCCTTTTTTTGTAGAAACAGCGTATTGGAAGCTGTAGCCGTAGGTGTTGTCACCACGGATGATGGTGAAGATTCATATGTTAAATTTTTGTCTTGAGTAGTTTTATTGAGCATCGAAGATGTATGTCTCTCGCCCGTGTTGCTAAATTCGTCGTTCAGATAATGCTCCGACTCATTTCCTACTGGATTTGATGTAGCTGCCGCAGTCGAGGACGATGCAGAAAACTGAATTTTTAAATTTCTTGTTAAACCATCTTTAGAGAAACCACTTTCTCCACTATATCCAAAGCTTTTACTGTGCTGTGACGTTGGCGTCATACTTCTACTGAAGGTATTAATAGTGCTTGTACTGCTGCTGCTGCAGCCCACAATATTCCCTGTTGACGATGAGCTAGCACATATACTTTGTAAATGTACCGCTGGGTATAAAAGTTCATGTAGACCTAATAATTTTTCTAATTCCTTAGGGTTACGAGCACCAGGTAAATCTTGCTTGTTTGCCAGTATTAGAACAGGAACACCCTAAAAACACAATGTCTTAACTTTTATTGTAGAGAAATAACTTCGTTTCTTACCTGATTGTCGGGGCATTTGGCTGTTCGCATAAGTTCCATTTTAGCTTCCTCCATTCGCTCTACATCCACCGAATCAACCACGAACAGAATGCCATCGGTGCATCTAAAATTTGAAAAAGTTAGAGAATTAGATAAACTCATTGGCCGAAAAGCGATATTATAGTCTGTGGTTTTGATTATGTCGTGGTTTTGGTTATGCCGTGGGTCCATTTTTGGCAGGTTCATTTCTCCTTATGCAACGAATATATATTCTGAGTTTGAAGCATATCGGACAATAAATGAGATTTTTTAGCATAGCTCGACCCCTGCACCATGTTTTTCATGGCAGAACTATACTCGGAGGTTTGCCATTGCCTGCCGAGCGGAGACCGCTGTTAAAAAAAAACTTTTTTCTATATTTTTTATGATGTTGTTTTGACCAGGGCTTGAACCCAAGCCCTGCGGAGTGGTAGCATGCACTGCTAACCACTACACTACAGCGGCTGCAGCAGTTTATAAAGGAATAAAATCGAAACAAACAAATTTAAATTTTAGGGTGCGTTCACACAGAAAGCCGAGCGGCGCACTATAGGCAAAACACGAGTTTTTTTTCAAAATCGTAGATCTTCGCTTAGAAAAGAGATAATGGAATGAAAATTTTTTTATCGTGATAAATATAAAGATAAATGATCATATAATATAGGAAAACTATAGAGAACAACAATAACTTAACCCTCAAAATACCATTCAAAATGTCACTTTTTTTTTTGAAATTTTGGATTTTGGCTCCCATTCCACTAGAAACCACTATATTTAATACACCATTAGCATTGTTTCTGAAAGATTTCTCTTTATTTTATCTTAAGACTCGATTTATGGGACATTGGTTGCTGTACCCGAGTGGCCAGATTGGAAAAGAAAAGCTTCCTTTAAACTCTAATAACTCGTAAACTATCAGCTTTCACAAAAAAATTTATATAAGAAAAATGGTTATACTGGTCGAGATATCTTTACGAAAGTGCAGCATTTAGCCCTTTAATGTAGAGTCTGTCATATATGAAACGCCTTTTAACCCTTTCAGGGTAGAGGCAAAATGGTCGTTTTTAGGTCCCGAAAATTTTCGGGATTTGTAATTTACACTGGTGGCAATAATAGAAACGCTTTATGTTGACCAGTTTTGGCAACATTTCTTTTGTTTATTTAATATTAAAATTTTTTTATAAATGTGTAGCTCAATATACTTATAATACCTTGCGACAAGCAATTTTGCGCACAAAAAGAAATCAATATATTCGCCAAATATTGTAAAATTGCGTTCTTAATTTTTTCTTTCTGACGACAGAATTTTTTAAAAGAACTTTGAAATTTGAAAGATATTAGTAATTCAAAAAATGATTTAAAAATTTAAGTGCAATATACTTAAAAAAACAGTATGGGTATCAAATGAAAGAGATGACTATGTAGAGTTAAAGCATTAAATTTTTGGTGCATAAGGGACGGGTAGGTATTGAAAATATCCTTTTATAATTTTATCCTTGAATATCCTTGAAATTTTGCAATTCTTATTTTTGAAAAAATTATATGTTAAGGACCAACTTTATTAGCTTAAAACTAATAAAATAGATTAAAGGGGCATTTTCAATTCCTATTGTGAACCCAAAAAAATTATTTCTTTTGGTACCCATATTTTTGTTTTACATTGCACTGAATTTTTATACCCGAGCGCACTTCTGCACAAGGGTATATTAATTTTGTTCACATAACGGTTGTTTGTAACAGCCAAAATGAATCGAGATAGATATAGACAAATGTATACATAAATGCTCAGAATGAATAGAGAAGTCGATTCGGCCATGTCTGGCTGTCCGTCCGTCTGTCCGTCCGTCCGCGTACACGATAACTCGAGCAAAAATTGAGATATCTCAACTAAATTTGGTATGTAGGTTTCCGTTAATCGAGGTTGGTATTGAAAATGGGCGGAATCGGACAGTAATCACGCCCACTTCCCATATAAAGGTAATTTCCATAAATACGAAAACTGCGATATTTTAGTGACTACTGAAGATAATTCACTCAAAATTGATATTTACAATAACTTTCAGACGAAAAATAAGAATATTATAAATTTTTGGAAAATGGGCGTAGCCACGCCCACTTATGGTAACATGTGTATATCTTGGTAACCGCTGCACCAATTTCTTCCAAACTCGGGTATAAAAATCATGACGTCAGAGAAATGCCCATTTATATGCAGTTAATTATATGTAATACTAGCGGTACCCCGTGTGCTTCTCTACACCAAATATTGAAAAATGAGTGAAAAATCCTGGAATTTTTCTATATGAAAATTTATCATATGTTTTATTTTAAAATTTTTGATTCTTTATTTTAAATCTTAATCCAACACATTTGGACATACAACATTTTTTGTTTTTCCATCTTCGGTATGAATAAATAAACTATTTGGAATGCCAACTCTTGAACAGGCCACATATAGCTACCAATTCCAATAATCTACCACAAATATTTCAAGAGATATACCAGATGAAAATTTTTGTTAGTATGGGTGGTGCCACGCCCCCTTTTCCGAATTCGGGGAAACTTAACACAAACCATCTGCATAATAGCCCGACTATGCCGTATAAATTTGGTTGAAATCTTGCACTTATTTTTTGTATATAAGATGTGAGATGCCACGCCCCCTTTTCCAATACCGCCCATTTTTCTCCATGAGTATGTAATTATTTGATATACTTCTATACCAATTTCCAGTACTCTACCACAAATATTTCAAGAGATATACAACATAAAAATTTTAGTTAGTATGGGAGGTGCCACACCCCCTTTTACGAATTCACATAAACCATCTGCATGATAGCCTGAATATGCCGTATAAATTTGGTTGAATTCGGTGAAGCCGTTCTCAAGTTATAAGCTCACACCAAAAGGGTGTACTTATTTTTATACATAAGATACATATGCCACGCCCCCTTTTCCAAATTTGGGCAAGCTCCACATAAAATATCTGCATGATGGCCCGAATATGCCATATAAATTTGGTTGAATTCGGTGAAGCCGTTCTCAAGTTATAAGCTAACTAACTAATTTTTATATATAAAATAGACGCGCCACGCCCCATTTTCCGAATTCAAGCAAACTTCACATAAACCATCTGCATGATAGCCCGAATATGCCGCATGAATTTTGCTGAATTCGGTGAAGCCGTTCTCAAGTTATATGGTCACACCAAAAACGTTCACTTATTTTTATATTGTTAGTTAGTATGGGTGGTGTCACGCCCCCTTTTCCGAATTCGGGCAAACTTCGCATAAACCATCTGCATGATAGATCGAATATGTCACATAAATTTGGTTGAATTCGGTCAAGCCGTTCTGAAGTTATGCGGTCACACCAAAAACGTGCACTTATTTTTATATATAAGATGAGGTAGACTTTTATAAAAAAAATGTAAATTTTGAATAAACAAAAGGAATATAGACAAAACTGGCTGAATTAAGGCGGTTCTTTTATTTCTGCCACTAGTATTATGAACTTCTTTCAACCAGAAAATAAATTTGTTCACTTAATTTTTTTTTTGCATCGAGTTTTTTTCGACATACCTTAAATTACTTTATCAGATATGTACACGCTAAAATCTTATTAAATGCATACAAATTTAATTACTGTCTTTCGTTTTGTTACTTATGAAATAATTTTCACTTTGAGTAAAAACGTACGTTCCAAACCCATTTACTTATTAATTATTATATGGTAGGAGAGCTTCTCACCATATTGATGCAATTTTTTCACGTTAAGTTGTTGAAAATTGATAAATACCTAAATCCCGGGACTGATCCCGGGATTGAACAAACGACATCCCGAAAATCCCGGGATCGTAATAAACGAAAAAATTAACATCCCTAATACATACATATGTATATCTTGTTTGCAGAAGCGTCATGAAGCTAAAAAATTAAATAGAAAATCCAAAATCAAAAACTGCTTTGCCCTCAGCTCCAAAACGCTTCGAAAACGTTTGCTGTATGAACACTTTCATATAGCTACAGCAATTTGAAAACCTCACTCCGCTCGGAACGGCTTCGCTCGGCTCGGCTATGCTTTCTGTGTGAAAGTACCCTTAGATTTTAGCTGGATTTATTTTACTCAAAGTTACTAGAATTTTATTCGAGTTTTTATTTAATAAAGGAATTAAAAAAATATTTCTCCAAGGCGTGGTTCTGGTAGTAAAGTAAGTTAGCCTACTTAAGTTGAGTTGGAGAAACCAGCACATAGAGTTAGATACTCTTTTTAGCGAATTCTTAGTCTTTCAAAGTTTTTGCCTAGTTTAAAAAATTAATTTAAGCCATGAGGAATTATAGATGAAGTCCGTAAATATTGGCACTTTTCCACAGTTTGAAAAATATGTAATTTTGTTTTTTTTTTTTTTATATAGTGTGCTTCCTGGCGCAAAGAGAAAAACCGTCTTCTAATTAAAATTTTTTTAAGAGAACTTCATATTTAAAGTAATTTTAAAATGAAATGTATAGAACTCTTTGAGAATTTAAACACTGAAGATGGAAATGATCTCATAATGAGCTATTCAAAAATGTCATATATATCTGTGTTCGTATGGAAAAGTAGCTTATGTCGAAAGGCTGGCTTTATTATAAATCGGCATTCGCAGCATACGATTGCGAATGACTCACTGGCGGTGAGCCGTTGAGAACTTTTGGCAAATAAACGTGCAAGAAATAGCTCCGATACTAGCAAGTCAATATTCTTATTAAGTCTCATCAAAAAAATATTTGCCGTTTAAAAAATAAAGGGAATGCCGCATTATACTAAAGCCAGCCCTTCGACATAAGCTACTTTTCCATACGATCTGCAATAAGGACATGAGTTTTCGATGGTTTTATCTATTAAGTTCTGGTGTGTAAGTCTTGTGTGTCCGAGTGGCCATCGTATGTATTTTGTCAGATCGAGTCGTGTTAAAGACGGATGTAGATTAATGTTTAGGAAATGTGTCAAGTTAGTTTTGTTCGCCGACTCCGAACGGCGATTGTATTTTTATGAGAAGCTGTTTTTCATGGCAGAAATACACTCGGAGGTTTGCCATTGCTGCCA